GGAAAAGCACCCCCAGCCACTAGTCCGACCCCCGTCGCGGGGTTGTGCGGATGTTGATGCAGACTGTAGAAATCAGAAGTTCCGCCCGAGCCTGCAGAAACACAACAAAATTTATTAAGTATTTCTCATTTCCCTCGTGCCTCGTACCTTCCGCTGTTAAAACCTGAAACCACACGGACTAACAGTGACTAAAGCTTTTCAGGAAGAACACTTTCATTGACAAAATGAAAAAGTTGCTCATCTTGTAATAATACTTATTCTCCTGTTCCGTAATATTTCTAATGACCGTCCATGGAACGGAATGTTCTAGCTTTGGAATGAAAAATTAATGTTTACAGCCACATAATACAAGAGGCAAAATTCTAGTCTTGTGTGTTTTTCTTAATAATGGAGCAGAGTCTATCTTGAGAAGCCCAGCTGGTCAGGAAATCACTGCCTTTTTGTGGAATCTGAATATTTACTACCGTGCTGACGGGAGCCCGCCTCCGAATCCGACCTTAAGCCAGTTGAATCCACTCCACAACATGCCGTCCTGTTTCTTTCGGATATATTTTAGTATCGGTCTCCCATTTACGTGTAGCTTTCCAGAGGGGCCTCCATGAATTACTTTTGAGACAAATATTTCTTCACACTTAATTTTTCTACATGTTTCGCTCGTCTCATAATCGACTTTGTCACCTTAATACTTGACAAAGTGTAGGCCAACAGATAATTTATTTTCGTTTGTTCGTAGGATATTGGGAGATAAATGTTTCTGAGCTGAAAGGTAGCAAGCATTTCCCGAACTTTGCCTGCGTTCTGGTTTGACGACAGCTTCTGATCAGGACGGAGGCAGCTCTAGTTTTGTTGACTGCGTGGCCCCGGACGGTGTCCTCGGGGGGGGGGGATGATATGCGAACACGAGTAGCGTGCTTGGTACAGGTTTTAGATAGTCTTACGGGAATTAGCTGCATTGACTCCACGCCCTCTCGTATGAAATTCATCCCCAACTGCCTCCATCCCTTAATCCGATTTCAGCTAGCCTGCACTATATTCTCCGCAAGGGGAAATAGGAGGAAGAGGGTTGGGGGTGGTTTGCAGCCTTTGAATTGAAACACTCTACCTCCACACACCCTCTTCCAAATCCTCGCCCTGCCTGTGTAGGGCCTGTATCTCCCCATCTCGCGTCTTCAGCTCATAGGGGACGCTGTGCTGTGTCTAAGCCGTGTTGCCGGCAGAAATCAGTACTGAGATGACTCAACGTCAGAGGCAGCTGAGGTGGCCATTTTGTGTGGTTTTAATGCAAGTCCGCGATAGTTTGGTGTCATGTCTAATGGCCCAGTGAAACCGGTTCATGGACTGCGTACTGAGAGTTCATGTGGTGGGACAAATTGATTTGCATTCGTGAAATGAAAAACAGTAAAACACAATGAAGATTAAACATGAAATACCTGAGTGCTACAGAATGTCACAGGTTGATGGCTGAGAAAATCCACAGTTTTAGGGGCTCAAGAAATTCATTCAGACTTTTTGCCTGGTAACTCAAAAGCAAGAGTTACTTGAAAGACCTAGGTGTAGATGGGAATAGGGGGTTTAATATGAACCTTTCAAGAATCAGAAGAAGGTGGAATGGACCTAACGACTCAGGGTAGTCTACAGCCTGGCCTATTTTTTAACGCGGTAATGGAATTTCCATGAAATATCGAGAACGTCTTGACTGGCTGGGCGTACTGTAAATTTTCGCAATTTCTTTTATTTTGTTGTTTTCCTATTTTGTTTCTTTATTGTAATTCCGTACTAACTTTCTGACCGCCCACATTTCATTTATCTTGTTCCGAACATTTAACAATAATTATGTGCTAAAACTTGTAGAAATCCTTCCACCGTGAATCAGATTGAAATTACTTACTTTTGATAATAGAGGAGCCACAGGTACTAGGAAGTTTGCAGAGTTCCGTAGTCGTGGGCCGTCTGAAGTACTCTGGCCACGGGTAGCCCATATATGCCGCCGTGTCCAACCACTGCGCTGCTGGAAAGAGAGCGAAGGGTCCAAAACCAGGATGCTGGCCCGGCAAGTAATGGAAGTCTGAAACAAGAGAAATTACCATGAAAGGGTACAGTCCGGATAATAAGTCTGTGAACACTCCATATTCCCCGTATGTGCAGCATCCATGGACGTGCATGTTAAACGAATCACTTCTCTGCTGTCTGATTTATGAATGATTGAATCTGAAGTTCTAACGGCGACTACAAGCGATAAATGTTCTCGTCAGATCGGTCGGTGTTTGGAGGTTCTGAGAGAACATTCGGTTTCATTCTGTCTGACCCTCCTCTAAATATTACTTAACAATTCAGTCCGTACCTCAAAGAAAACACAGTTTATCTCCGTTACAAAGATCAGTTGCCTTCGTTATTATGCGTTGTTTGGACGAAGCAAAATATTGTTGAGAATCTAACAGTAGCTCAGATGGTCGTGAAATTCTCAGTTCATTATGTAACGCGAAGCTTCATTAATCTGTTCACAAGAGCCATTGGACCCCCATCGTGAGCCAGCATAATCCAATACACATTTTCACACGCATTTATTTAAGACTAATTATTATCTGTCACTTACATCTGTGCCTGTCACGTTCTGTTCCCTTAAGATTTCCGACTAAAATTCCGTACGCATTTCTGGTCGCTTCCGTACGTGCCCCCTTGTTTTCATAACAGAGTTTACATTTTCGAACGAATATGCAGATTATTTTTACATGTGTTGGTCTTATATGTAACTCACGTAGAGATTAAAATAATAAAACAAATAATTTCATAAATAAAATGCTTGTGGGGAAACCGGAATTTTTATGTGAAAGTCGCATGGTGCAATGTTGGAAGGAATAAATAAATGAATGAATGATTTCTTTCCCAAAATTTGTGGAACAACTTTATAAATGTGAGTGTAACTAGTTAAATACTTTTGGAGGCAATGTCTGATAATCTGTAAGGAGCTGATTTAGAGTCGCTTTACGTTGGTTACTGAAGCAGAAAGCTAACTTAAAAATGCGCTTAATCAGTTCTATGTAGCAAAGTATACTTTCCTTTGTGCGTTTTGCCGCCGCTCGCATTAATCTTTTGTACGCATGCGTCACACAGAACACACGCGAGTTGTCTCTTTGTACGGAACCAGTAAACCGAACTGAATTTACGACTTCTATCTAACACATGCATGAAGTGTATCCATGAGATGAAAGTGCTCCGTAAATTATCAACATAAGCGATAACAAGATGGAGCCCTTGTATCTGAAATGTGTTATATAAATCCATCTCGTAAACCAGGTTTAAAAACGACATTGAATTTTAAATTGATTTAATCCAAATATGTTTACTTTTAATTCTCAGAATCTCTGCTGTTTTCCCTCGAAGTGCTGTTGCCTTTTTCAAGAATGTTATCTTTTTCTAAACGTCTCAATAAATTTGTCGCTTTCTGCAAATCACATTGAGATTTTTTTTAGAATAATAGACAACTCAGTTTTTGCGACCTTAAAAAAAAGGGCCTTGGTAAATGAAACAATTAAGACCCTCAAATAAAATTGTGCAAGACAATGTCAAGATCTGTTCTGGTACACGGATGATAAGTGTGAAAAGTAGGTTAACAGAAAATAATAGGATTCAAGGTACTGAAGTTGTTTTTCTGCGATCAGTAACAGAAGAATTTACTCCGAAATGAAAATATTATGCACATTGATAAGAGTTCAAATACAAGTTCAGTTTACAGAAATAAATGGTGTGAATATGTTAATGTAATGGAAGGAAATTAGCCTAAATACCAAAGAGTTTTGATTTGTGGACATATAAAATCTTAAGACTGATCGATGTGGAGATTAATTCTAACAGAACAGACTTGAAAGTTGGTGGCTCTTAAGACGAAATTTTAGGTTAACATCCTATCCTTCGGAGCGGTATTTGGCTAAACCTGAGATGTCATAATCTGAAGAGTCAAATGAATCAGATTGAAAGACATGATTTTGTAGAATTTAATCAGCACTTATTTTAGATCGAAGAAGTGACATCTGTGAATAAGAATAAGTCGAAATTAATTGTGGCTATCGTTACGTCATCGGATAAAATTCCGAACAGGAATTTCTTTTACAATAAATGTACCGACTGGCATTCTCTGCGGAATTCATTACAAATTTCTGTATTTGACAGCGAAACGTTTATTGTGACCTTAATTCGTGAGCGAAATTTGTAGCAACGACTCTGAAGCAGGTCCATGGTAAAAAGAAGGGGGGGGGGAAATACATTTAAAAAATGGCTGTAGATATTATTCACTTAAACTGTCCCAATATTTTGCAAGACAGCAATTACATATGTAGCCTATATGTTTCAGTTTATTACTTTGTAATAAATACAATTATTAGGGCCATAAACTGTGGCGTAGAAACATATAACTATTACAGAACAAATTAATTCACATTGGTAACTATATGTACCACCTGATTTAACAGACAATAACTGCATATTGTGTATTGGTTTCGTATGATTTTCAGAATGAACAGTGATTACGTCTTTACATGGCACTAATCAATCG